AGAATAGAATAGAATAGAATAGAATAGAATAGAATAGAATAGAATAGGGAATTGAATGAGAATAGAATAGAATAATAGAATGGAATAGAAAATAGACTAGAAAATGTGGAATGGAATTAGAATTAGAATAGAAGAATAAGAAATTGAATTGGAATGGAATGGAATAGGGAATTGAATTAGATTAGATTAGATTAGAATAGAATAGAATAGAATAGAATAGAATAGAACAGAACAGAATATATGGAATGCAATAGAATAGAGTTGGAATGGAATGGAATGGAGTAGAAGAGAAGAGAATAGGGAATTGAATGAGAATGGAATGGAATGGAACGGAACGGAACGGAACGGAACAGAACAGAACAGAATAGAATAGAACAGAATAGAACAGAATAGAATATATGGAATGCAATAGAATAGAGTTAGAATGGAATGGAGTGGAGTAGAATAGAATAGAATAGAATAGAATAGAATAGAATAGAATAGACTCCATAGCATCTGCTTATAGTTAAATAAGGGTGCACAGAATTCATGGGACTTAGTTCATTTTTGACTCTGTAGGGATTCTAGGCTAATCCCTCTTTTGACTCCACTCTCAGACTCCGGCACTACTACTCCTACATCTTTAGCCACATCCAGAGGGGCATTAGGATAAGAAAGAGTTCGAGAGATTTAGCGTTATGTTTATCTTATTCCTTCTGAATATTTCTAAGACAATTGGAAATCAACTTTAAAAGGGAATTTTACAGCAAATTGGTAGGGGTGGAATAGATGAGCTTTGATAAATCTAGAAATAAGTTATTTTCTTCCCTGTTGCAGATCATAAAAGAATATGAAGAAATTGGTATATCAGTTTATATAACCGCCTGCAATGGTAAGTCGGAGAAGTGTGGGTTAAATTTTCCCAGTCATTAGGCTGTTAATGTTCTGTCTAGTCTTCTTCAACGTGATGCCTCCCAAAATTACTACTCTTGGATTCCTACCATGTTTCTCATAAAATAAGGCTGGGCCTTTTTTTTTTTTTAAACCCTGAAAAAATGGCTAGGCCGTCTTTTCAGGGGTGGCTTAATTCCCCCCCCCATGTGCACCCCCACCTAGAGCGCCCCTCAGGCAGACTCGCCTCACCAACTAGCCGCTTCTATCGGCTGTTAGGAGCGGCCTCGTAGCGAGACAAGTCTGCGGGCGGGGCACTCCTAACGGCCGATAGAAGCGGCCTAGTGGTGAGGCGTGGCTGCCCGTGGGTTGCTCTAGCCGAGTCTACCCGCGGGGGTGCTCCAAACAGCAAGTTCCCCCCCTTCCCTTTCCCGCCCCATTTCTCTTCACCTCGTGTTATTCACACAATGTGAGAAATGGCGGGGAACGCATGCTTTAAATAGGCCCAAATTTTGGGGCCTGGGCTTAATTTCATCGCATGGGTATAAAACAGTGCTGGGGGAGCATATTGTTGGAGAAACATGATACCTAGCCAGTATGATGGGTGGAAGTCCACCACATTGTTTAATCCAGCAACTGAGGTCCTACATCTCACCGCGTAAGATAAACGATTCCTTGCAGAACTGGAATTATCAAGTCTGCATTTGTACTGTCCTTGACTTATAACAATTCGTTTAGTGACTTTTCAAAGTTACAACAACCCTGGAAAAAGTGAGTTATGACTCTTTTTCCCATTTAAGACTGTTGTAGCATCCTCATGGTCACGTGATCAAAATTAGGATGCTTGATAACCGACTCATGTGACCAGCAAAGTCAGTGGGGAAAATAGATTCACTTAACAACGGTGTTACTGACTTAACAACCCCAGTGATTTACTCAACAACTCTGTTAAGAAAGGTTGTAAAATAGGGCACAACTCAATAATTGTTTCACTTAGGAATAGAAATTTTGAGTTCAATTGTGGTTGTAGATTGAGAACTACCTGTACTTCTAAATATATATATTACCCGTTTGATGTCTCTCCAAAGAGGAAAGTAATTGTTTTGAAACAGTTTTCTATTTATATTTGTCAACCTAACCCCTAAGTATTTCACCTTTTACTCAAACTTAAAACCCGATTTTTTGTTCAATATTTCACTGTATCGAGAAGACATATTCTTGATTAGCATTGTTGTTTCCCATTTGTTTATTTTGAAACCTGCCAAAAGTCCCAAACTCATTTAATTTCCTCATCAAATAATTTGTATTGGTGTTTTTTTGAGGGGGTCTTGTGAAAATATAACCAGATCATCAGCAAATGCCCTCAATACTGCTTTCTTAACATTTATGCCCCTTATTTTATCATCTTATCTGATACCTCTGTTCAGAACTTCCAGTACCAAAATAAATGACAAAATATTTTGGAAAGGTGGAAGCTGTTGGGGAAAAAAACTTTTTTAAAAAGAAAACTAATATGAGTACTGGATTAAAGTTAAAGGTATATGCAAGAGAGAAACACAGAGACATAGTTTATGGTTTTAAATAAAGCAAAGCTTGTGTCAAAAGATAATATTATCCCCAGTGCTTTAGCAGAGTGCAAAACAGAACACAACTTAACACGTCAAGTTCATGAGCCAAATAAACTTTCTCTTACAGCAATAACTATCCACTCTTTCCTGGGGAACAAAATCATTCCTGCTTTTGCTTCTGAGAACTTTGTTTTTCGTAGTTTTGTCTTCTGCACATGTTTCCCTAGACTGGATAAATTACCCCAAATTGGGTAAAAGTTACTTTTGTTTGAGAAACAACGCACAAACATTGCTCAATCACAGAAGGGACATTTAAATAACAACTTTCTGATGAGTGGTAAAAAAGGATTTCCTGATAAGTGACTTTGGGTAATGAAGGAAAAGGTTAGGGAAACAATGGTGCAACAGGAATTAACCATGATTTGAAATAACAAACGGTTTTACCTCATAAATTTTATTAAGTTTCATTATAAGATAAAATACAGAAGAAACAAAAGTTAGGAAGCCAAGATACTTTACTTCATAAATGTTATAAAGTTTGATTATTTATTTTATTAAATTTGTTTGCTGCCCATCATGATGTGAGGCTACTTTTAAAATAAAACTGTGTGTGTGAGTGTGTAAATTTAAAATCACACTGTAAGATTTAGAATTAATAGATTATAAAATAGAATGCAGAAGAACCAAAAGTTAGAAAAGTAGTGGAATCACTGATTCTCTTAGTTTTCTTTTGTCTCTTTTGGACTTTATGTTATAAAAAACTTAATAAAATATATAAAATAAGGTGAAAGTAAAGTTTTCTCCATCCTGTTATGTCCAGCTTTAGGGGGCAGTACTCATCTCTGTTTCGTAGCTGAATGATCCAGCATTGTCGGAAGACGTCTCCGTGGTCCTGTGGCCAGCATGGCTATACGCCAGAGGCGCACAGAACACTGTTACCTTCCCACCCAAATGATACCTATTTATCTACACGCATTTGTGCACTTTCAAACTGTTAGGTGGGCAGACACTGAGGTGAGGACGGGAGCTTGCCCCTGTCGTGTGTCACTTGGGTCTTGAACCTGGGATGTCCGCTTTCCAGCCGACAAGCTCAGTGCCCTCTTTTATAACTTAATAAAACTTAAAACTTTTAAACTTAATAAAATTCATGAAGTAAAACGGTATAATTTCAAATCATTATTAATTCCTGTTGCGCCATTGTTTCCCTTAACCTTTTCCTGTTTTTACTAAGCAGTTCTTCTTTTATGTAGTTTCATTTGTGGAGGCTGGGCAGAAAAATTGAAGCCAAAATTTCAATTGCTACACGAGACATTCATTAAGTGATTTTTGCCCCATTTTACGACCTTTTGTGCCACAGTTGTTAAGCAAATCATTGCAGTTACTGTAAGTTAGAAACCCGGTTGTTAAGTGAATCTGGCTTCCCCATTGCCTTTCTTTGTCAGAAGGTTGCAAAAGGGGACCCCCGGGGACACCACGACCGTTGTAAATTTGAACCAGTGGCCAAGTCTATGAACGTATGTGACCCATGTTGTTGCAATGGTCGTAAGTGTGAAAAATGTTCATAAGTCGCTTTTTTCAGTGCTGTTGTAAGTTCAAACAATCACCAAGGACTACCTGTACAGGTAGTCCTTGACTTACAACAATTCATGTCGTGATCATTCAAAGTTATAATGGCACTGAAAAAAGTGACTTATGGCCATTTTTCACACTTAGGACCATTGCAGCATCCCCATGGCCATACCACACACACACACACACACACACACACACACACACTAGTTGGATGCTCGTCCTTCACTATGGAACTATGTGGTCGGGCTTTTAGGGAGGAAAATGGGAGGGGGGTAGCCTCTGCCTACCAGCATCCATCGGTAGTCATCTGGCTAGCATCCTGTCAGTGTGTGAGAGACTTGAGGGCTGTTTGGAAACTGAAGCAGTATTTGCTATGTGAGCAAGGAGACAGCAAGGAGCCTAGGCGTGACTTAGCTCAACTGTTCTGTACTAAAGCTGCTTGGTGCTCTCAAACTGAAAGTGAAACTCCTCCTTTGCTTGTGTTTTGCATTTGGAAGAGATTTCTTTTCTGGTGGGGAGGGGGAGTAGAACTCCTTAGTATCAGAACATGTTAATAATAATAATATAGGAAATACTAATAGCTCTGATAGTCATTTTGAAAAAATCCTTTCTTAGTGAGCACCTAGAAGGCAAGAGGAACATACGGACCAAATTTCAAGTTTGTAGGTTTTATGGTTCTGGAGATTTTCATGAGCACCTGTTACTTCGCTTTTATATATATAATATATTCTTTTATTCTCCACCAGGCTCTGTTATGGACAGCCTCTCTAGACTGCATTTTTTTGAGAAAGCATCCTTCCGAGATTTGTTCTTTCCGAGCGTTCATGACGCTGTCCTCACCAGCCAGCTGAGAGGCTTCTCTTCCACCTATCTTTAACTCATCTCCTCCACCCTGAACTATGTGGATCTATTCCCAAGGGCTCCCGTAGACATTTATTTCATTTGCACAGACGACGGAGCCAAAGACTAGCCAGTCCTACGGGTCAGGGTTGCATCTGCACCCACACTGCAACAAGCCTGTGTTTTTCCCTGCCAGCCTATTTCCGGCCCGAAGACTCCTGAAGCCTTAATCCTTTTCAACGTTGTACTTTTTTCCACTGAAGTTCAAAAGTTGTTCGATGCACATGTGGCATAAATGCAAATATTTGTAGAGCGTTGGAAGGTTGGTCTGTTTTGCTGCACAGCCATTTTCTTTCTGGTGGACCGTTGAATAACGGGCTAGAAAATATGAACACACTGATACTTTATTTTACTTTTTTAAATTTTATTTTAACAGTGCATTCCTGTGCAAGAATTGGGATGGATATGAAAAGGTGCACTGTGTGTGTGGGTGTGATTGTGTAGTGTGCCTGTGTGTGAGAGAATGCATGCTCCTCTAACTTGAAAATGCAAGCTACGTTTCCAGATTTTCAATTCAGAAATCAGTGGGTTTTTTCATCCGATGGCTACTAAGTATAGTAAACATTTTTGGGAACCACCAGGATTTTCGCTCCATTTTATAAATTATTATGACTCAAGGAGGGTAATAGATTGTTTTCACATAAAGGAGACTCTCCTGTACTCTCCCAATGCTAACCTTAAGGAAGGTGTATTTAAAATTGAACAAGACAATAGATAGTGCAACTAGTTAAGGAAGAGAAAAGAAAAGAACTCAGCACTCAAAATCTACTTTTCTACACATTAAGCAGCTAGGCATAGTTATTGCAGCTAGCTATGCGTCGTCTGGAAAGGGGAAAAAAATGGAAGAAATGATGTTTTCCAAAATAGAAGATCCCATTTGATGTACTTTCTGTGCACTGATGCATCTTCAAGTCACAAAAAGACTGCTGTGAAAAATCGCACTTCGTTTGGACTCCCGAGGAAGTGGGCTTCTTGAGACAATTCTCAGTACAATGTGGGGACTGGTGAACAATTTATGTCTCGTTGTGTCCAGTGCTTGGTTGCACAAGAGACTAGAAAACAGCTGGATGCCCTATGCAAGTTTTATTTCAATAGTGCTTCCTCTCAGGTAGGTTAATACAGGGTTAGGACAGCGCCACCACAAAGGCAGCCGAATAAAAGACTTTCAATGGAGGAATTGGGCAGATTTCAGTTGATTTCTCCTACTACATAAGCCTTAAACATCCAAGGAGGTTTTTCTCTCTCCCCCCCACCCCCCTCCAAATACAGTTCCTTCCTTTCTGCTAACCTTGCCAAACTGTTAACGTCCTGTGTTAGAATATTATTATTATTAGATAAACAGTTTTTCTTCCCTGGTATGTTTAAACCAGAGGATTGTGGTGGTATCTATGCAGGCTGTTTACGTGCGTCTATTATCTACAATTTTGAAGCAAACCTAAAATACTGATAGCCGAAGACTCGTCCATCAAAAGTGGTTTCATTTAGCGTCGGTTTGCAAACTGTAGAAATGAAATTTAAGGTATTCAGACCATCCCACACACACTCATGGAGTTGCTTCTTAGCGATGTTGTACAAAGGATGTAGGATTCCAATGCGCTGCCTTTCTCGTATTAAAGGGAAGTAGCCCTTTGCAGCTTAGGTCAATTGTTGCTAGAGTTGGATAAAACTCTGAATATAGGTTAATAATGCTGGTATTTTTGTGAGATCTTGACTTTTTGTGGGAGTGGCTGCATTTAAGACCATATATTCTATCGACCTCCTGTTCTTGGAGAAGCCCTGATGGCTTTTTATAACCAGACGTTTCATTCAGATGTGAGTCAAAAGTTAAACCTCTCAATAAAAAGATAAATCTTGAATTTTTCATTCCCTTTGTCATTTTTATGCAACCAAGTTGGTATGGTGATGAATCTATAAAGGTACAGTATGTTGGGGCCTTCACTGCTTCCAACAGGCGTGTCCAACCTTGGCAATATTAAAGACTTATGGACTTCAACTCCCAGAATTCTTTGCTGGCTAGGGAATTCTGGGAGTTGGAAGTCCACAAGTCTTCAAAAGTTGCCAAGGTTGGACAACCCTGGCTTTTACAATAAAGGCACCAACCAGGGTACAATACCTTCTTATTCTAACTTTGTCTCATTCTAACTTTGCTTCTTTAAAATTTTTTTCATTGATCCAGCATTAAATGCTCAGTTCTAGTTTTCAAACCAGTTGGAAGAAATTGCCTCATGTACCACTTATTTTTGTACTAGCTCTACCCATGCTTTGCTACGAAACTATGTGATTGGGCTTAGTTTTGGGGGAGGAAAATAAGGGGGAAAAATTGTGCCTCTGCCTACCAGCATCCATTGGTATTCATCTGGCTAGTGTCCTATCAGTGAGAGAGGGCTATTTGGAAACTGAAACAGTATTTGCTGTGTGAGCAAGGAGATAGCAAGGTGCCTGGGCGTGGCTTAGCTCAATCGTTCTGTACTAAAGCTGATTGCTGCTGTGAAACTAAAACTGAAACCGAAACTCTTCTGCTTGTGTTTTGCATTTGGAACAGAACTCCTTAGCATCAGAGCACGTTAATAATAACATAGGAAATACTAATGCTCTGATAGTCATTTCAAAAAATCGTTTCTTAATGAGCACCTAGAAGCCAAGATATATGCCAAATTTCAAGTTTATAGGCTTTATGTTTCTGGAAATTTTGTGATGATGCATGAGTGATATTTCATTTTTATATATACAGATAGAAAGCTGTGGGTTAAGGCACTGTTGTGTTCTCAAAAGTAGTCCTGACCGTAAACCTAAAGAGATTTACATTTGATTTAGAAAGTAAATTACACAAGCAGCATTAAAAGTCTGGAGTTGGGAGCTCACAATCTTTATTTTGAATATAACAATAAAGCTAAATCATTACACTTCCAATAAAGACAACCACGTAAGTTGGAATGTCATCTGTTTTTTAGTTCTACTAGGTCCAGCTACAACACAACACTCCCCAGAAACACTCTTGAGGGTTATCTGAAAGATTCAAGCTTAGTTGTAGGTCATGTATCGAGGGGTGGCGCTGAATTTGGCATAGGACTTGATGACTTTGTTTACCGCGTCCAGGAAGTCCTTCTCGGTGGCAATTTTTCGCCTCGCTCGGATAGCAAACATACCTGCCTCTGTACAGACACTACGGATTTCAGCACCTGGGGTGGTGGTGGAGAAATAAAAAAATGAACATGAAACATAAAAACAGCATGAAGCATAATAAAGCACATTGGGAGAACAACCCAACAAAACTACAATAGGAACAGTGGTGACACAGTGGTTAAAATGCAGTATTACAGGCAAACTGCCCACTGTCAGGAGTTTGATCCTGACTGGCTCAAGGTTGACTCAGCCTTCCGTTCTTCCAAGGTCGATAAAACAAGGATCCAGATTGTTGGGGGCAAGAGGCTCTGAACCACTTGGAGGACTGTAAAGCATTGTGAAGTTGTATTTAAGTCCAAGTGCTATTGCTGATCCTTTCCTTTTTCCTTTCCTTCCCTCTCCTTCCTCATGACCCAGTGGTTACAATGCAGTATTTCAGGCAAACTCTGGCCCCTGCCAGGAGTTCAATCCTGACAGGCTCAAGCCTTCCATTCTTCCCCGGTATGTAAAATGAGGACCCAGATGTTTGGGGAAAAATGCTGAGACTTTAAACCACTTGGAGGACTGTAAAGCATTGTGAAGCGGTGTATAACTCCAAATGCTATTGCTGCTCCTTCCCTTCCTTCCCTTATTCCCTTTCTCATTCTCCTTCCTCGTGGCCCAGTGGTTAGAATACAATATTTCAGGCAAACTCTGGCCCCTGCCAGGAGTTTGATCCTGCCAGGCTCAAGCCTTCCATTCTTCCCAGGTATGTAAAATGAGGACCCAGATTGTTGGAAAGTCTAAACCACTTAGAGAGGACGGTAAAGCAGCGGCCCCCAACCTTCAGGGCACCAAGGACCGGTTCCACAGAGAAAGGTTTTTCCATGGCCCGGAGGCGGGGGGGGGGGGCGCACGGGTTTGCATGCTGCTTACATCCCACGGATGGGGCTTTGCTTGCTGGCATGACGTGGACAGGTGTCGTCCCACAGACCGGGGGGGATTGGGGATCTCTGCAGTAAAGCACTATGAAGCGGAAATGCTATGTTTAACGTACCAGTGCTATTGGGACACAGCCGAGCCAGCAACTCAAACCTTATGTCTCTTTCAACGCTCATGGAGCGGGCGTGGATTTTGAATATGTGAGTTCTTCCCTAAAGAAAGAAAGAAAAAGAACCAGGCTTTCGTTACGATAAGCGCAGATGAAATTAACTCAAAGAGGGTTTAGCAAATGTTGGGCTCCCTTAAAGACAGGCCCTCCTGGCTCAAATCAAGGCTTACCCTGCTCTTCCTAAGAAAGGCAAGATAGATGAGTTTAGAGCAGGCCATGGTGTGCAAGTGAGGATGAGTGGTGGTGCGGCGGCCTAGAGGTGGCACTCTCGCCTCACAATGGAGAGGCTGTGAGTTCGACCCTTGGTAGAGGCATATATTTCTCTCTCCAGGAGAGAATATTTCTCTCTGGGAGAGAATGTATCTGGCTGAACAAAACTCCGCACTGGTGACAGGAAGGGCATCCGGCCAGTGAACACTCAAGCTCCATTCAGTTTCCCAGACTCCACCCCGCAAGGGATTATGGCGTTGTTAAAAGAAGATATGCTGATGCAAGTGAGGAATAGAAAATAGATGAAATGCGGGTTGAGCGTAGGGGATAAAAGAACGGATAGGCTAGCCAGTCTGGTCTACTGGTCAAAGCACCAGGCTAGAAAGTGAGAGACTGCGAGTTCAAGTCGTGCCTCAGGCATGAAGCCAACTAGGTATGACATTGGGCCAGTCGCGCACTCTCTTCTCTCTCTCAGCCCAAATTACCTCAGAGTTGTTTATTGTGAGGAAAATAGGAGCCTGAGGGTGCATTGGAGATGTTCACTGCCTTGAATTATTTGTAATACAGGTAGTCCTCGACTTATAACAATTCATTTAAAGTTACAACGGCACGGAATAAAGTAACTTCTGACCGTTTCCGCATTTATGACTAACTGTTTCCTATTTATGACAGTTTCCATGTCCTGGGGGTCCATGTGATCCCCTTTTGCGACCTTCTGACAAGAAAAGTCAATGTGGAAGCCAGATTCACTTAACAACCGCGTGACTAACTTAACAACCGAAGAGGTTCACTTAACAAAGGTGGCAAGAAAGTTCATAAAATGGAGCAAAACTTAACAAACGTCTTCACTTAGCAACATAAACTTTGGACTCAACTGTGGTCGTACAGTGAGGAACTAGCTGTGCCAGCATAACATTCATCCCCCATCGTTATTATTTAAGAATAAAAGCGTTCTAAACCTCCAAATCTGGTAGGCTGAATTCTATTTTCCTATCTAATCTTCCAGGCCTCATCAACGCTGGATCCAGGGTGTCTGGCCTATTGGTTGCCATCAACACTTTGATATTCCCTCTCGGATCAAAGCCGTCAAGTTGGTTGATCAGTTCCAGCATTGTGCGCTGGACTTCATTGTCTCCTCCGGCCCCATCATCAAAGCGAGCGCCTAAAGAGAAAAGAAAAACAACCACTTCAGAACGGTATCCTGACTGAAGAGGTTGACTAAAATCAAGGGACGTTTTTAATCCCACCCTATCAACACTGATTGCTCGTACTGGTTATTTTTTACAGGTGAACTAAGAGCAGATCAGAGCAAAGGGTAACGATCCCGAAAAAGAGCTTCTGGGAAAGGAAGCAGAGTTTTCCCAAAAGTGCTTTTTCAAGAGGCAACTGGACTTTATTTATTTGTTTTTGAAGGCATTTCGCTTCTCCTCCAAGAAGCTTCTTCTGCTCTGACTGGATGGCGGGGAAATGGAAGGGTTTATACTCCTTGCAAACAGCTGGTCATTTGCATCCTTTTTAGAGGATGTTGTTGAGGCCACCTGGAGGTTTATCTGTGTCCTCAGAGTCACCTGAGTGGCACAAATGGTTCGTGTAGTCTTCAATCTTTTCTCTGGAAATCTGTTCCTACTCATACCATTCAGAGGATGTTCATCCCAAATTGTATAGCTAAAAGCCTATAGAGGTTCTCCCTCATCCAGGTTATGGTTGTGTGTTTTTCAGGAGG